TGAGTCTAAAGTCATTATGCTGAGCTGTAGCCCACCCCTTTTACATTGTTTTAATTTGAGACAGGATCTCCCAGAGTCACTAACTTGCTTAGGCACGCTTCCTGCCTTAGCCTCCCAGAATGCTGGGGTTACAAGTGTGAGACACCGAGCCTATCTAAGGCCTAGGTGATTGTTTTACTTAATGCAGTAAGACATTGTATCATAGAGTGATACTTCCTGAATTCTTTCAATGCTTTGTTGAATAAACAAACCAAGCACAATCATTAAAAACAAATAATCCATAACTTTCCTAAGAACAAAGTGATTTGGTTCCAGTTAAGTGATATCTTAGGGCCCACTCCTACCCCCCTCTGTTGGATTTTCTCCCAGCTTTACATTTGGAGACCTCGTATTGGTGCCTGAAAATTGCCCATGGGCAAGAAAACGGGTGCAGCACCACCAGCGTGGAGACCAGGTTAGGAGGGTCACTGGGCTGCAGGTTCAGGTCCAACCTGACCTACTTAGCAAAGCTAAATCAAGTGAGAGGCTCTCGGATTACCTGTTGGCTAAATTTTGTAAGCCTTTAAACTTTTTAATTCTCTAAGTTATGAATACTGTATTCTCTGTGTGGTGGTATAGTACATGTATATTTGCCATTTTAACTGCTTTTAAGTATACAGTTCAGTGGCATTGAGTGCATCCATGTTGTGTAGTTTTGCAGCACTGAATTTAATTTTTTTTTTTACAAATTTTTTTTGTCTTTTTCTTTTTTATCGGTACTGGGAATCAAACTCACGACTGCCTGCTTGTAAGGCAGGTGCTTATGCTGCTGAGCTAAATCCCCAGCCCCCTGAATTTAATTTTTAAACCCAGTTTCTATACATCAAAAACTACTTCCCGTGGCTCTATTTTTCCATTTTATTATTCCTGGCTTATTGTGTATTAATTGCATGAGAGAGAACTAAAGCTCTTTCCCCTGTTTATTATATCACTCTTGCGATGATCACCAGAGAATCTGGAAGCTCACAAATCATTTGTTCTGCACAGACGTTTTTAGTATATAGGGAAGGTTTCTCACCTAAACATTTCTTTCTTTACAAGTTGTATTACATGCAGGAACACAGGAGACAAATAGAATTGAGCAGTTCTGAGTGAGATCATTTTACATTGCAATAATTGGTCACAAAAGCATTGTCTTAAGTGTAAGATATTCAGCACTGAAATTGAATTTGTACTAGATATGAAACATTTGCCTAATCTAAGGTTATTTGAAAACTCATCTAAGAAGTAATTTATTTTCACTTAAAATTGGTTTAGGCTTTTGCAGCTAAGAAGCTTAATTTGGAAATAGCATTGGCCTATAGTCCTGTGTCACTTATTAGTCCCAGCACAAGACAACCCTGTCAAATTTCTAGGATTAGTTTTCTCATTATAAATAGAATTAGTTGAATTAAATAAGAAAGATTGTTCTATTTTTCCATCTTCAACACTCCTTGGTTGAAATGACTAGCTTTGTAATATGTAGAAACCAACTTCAAAACATTTTTCCCATTCTGTAAGTTGTCTCTTCACTCTATTGATGAGTTCCTTTACTATGCAAAAGCTTTTCCATTTGATGTGATCCCATTTGTTGATTCTTTGTAAGATTTCCTGTGCAGTCAGGGTTTTGTCATAAAAATGTTTGTTTACAACTATGTCTTCAACATTCTACCTATTCTGTCTTAGTTACATTTCTCATTGCTGGGACAAAATACCCAAAGTTAAAGGAGAGATTTATCTTGGCTCATGGTTTTTATAAGTTTCAGTCCATTATCTGCTGGCTCGAAAAAGGGTGGCATGGCAGAGGGGCACTGCAGAGGGGAAACCATTCATGGTGTGCAGAAGACAGGCAGAAAGCTCCAAGCAGCAAGTCCAAGCAACCGTAGCAGCTTCTTTCAGTCCCGTTTATAATCTGCGTAGGCCACTGGGCTTTGGGAGTGTGCTAGACAAATGAGTAGGTGGAATTAGTAATCACACATCTTTAATCCCAGCATCGCCGGCTCTAGATCCAGCCACCTCTGAAACAGCCTCATCTGACACAAGTCATAACACTACCTTGAATCAATTTAAGTGTTTCTGCCTTAATATTTGAGTTTTTGATCCATTTTGATTTTAGTTTAGTGGATGATAAGCGATACGGGCCTAGGTCCAATCTGTGGCATGTGAAAGCCAGTTTTCCCAGCACTATTTGTTAAAAGGGCTGTCTTTCCTCCAGTGAAGACATCAAACATAAGGTAGTTGAGCTGTTTCTGCATCTTCTGCTCCGTTCCATGAATTCTCAAACCTGACCCGGTACGGTCACACACACCAGTAATCTCAGCACTTGGGAGGCTGGAGCCACGAGTTCAAGGCCTGCCTGGGCTACACCACTGTTAGCTTTGTAGTATAATTCGAAGTCCAGGATTGCGTGATACCTCCTGCCTTGCTCTTGTTGCCCAGAATTACAGCAGAATTGCTTTTGTTAACTCTAGTTATCTTCTGATTCTATGTGAATTTTGCTTTATCTAGGTCTGTGAGGAATGTTAGATATTTTGATTGAAATTGCATTACACTTGTGAAGTAGTTTGGAAGTATGGTCATCTCACTATCCTGCTTCTTCCTGTCCAAGAACTTCCCGTTTTCTTCCCATTTTCTCTTTATCTCTTTTTTCAGAGTAGTACAGTTGTCAAAATGTAGAGGTCTCTCACTTTTTGGTTAAGTTTTCCTAAATATTTCATTGTTATCTATGCTATTCTGATTTTTTTTCTATCTTTTTGAGATAATTCAGGCTGGCCTTGAGCTCACTTTGAAGCCCAGGCTGGTCTTGAACTTGCAACGATCCTCCTGTCTCAGCCTCCCAAGTGCTGGGATTACAGGTGTGAGCCACCACACCCGGCTTATCTATGCTATTCTGAAATGTGTTGTTTCTCTAATTTCCCTCTTATGAGTTTGTTTTTCATGGATAGGAATAGTTAATTTTTGATGGCTGACTTTGTATACTCTTATGTTACCAAATTTATTAACTCTAGAAGTCTTTTTTGGTAGAATTTTTGGGGTCTTCGATGTAGACGATTATGTCATCAGCAAATATTGTAGTGGTGACTTAACTTCTTTTCCTATCCATATTCTTTTTCTCTCTCGTGCCTAATTGCTCTGGCTAGTATATTTAGACTGTATTGTGCAGGAGTGGATACTTGTCTTGTTCTTCATTTTAGAGTGAAAGCTTTGAGCTTTTGTACATGTAGTACTTTCACTGTGTTTGACATAGATGACTTTTATTAGATCGAAAGAAAGAACTTCCATTCTAATTTCTTTAAGGTGCAAATCATTAGTGGATGTTAAGCTTTCTCAAGTGCCTCTTCTGCACCTATTGACATGCTCATGTGATTTTTGGCCTTGCTTCTATTTATGTGACGTATTACATTTATCGACTCATGTATGTTGAACCATCCCTGCATCCTTGGAGTCATGATGTATAAGTCTTTCTGATGATTTGTTGCATTCCTACTGAAGATTTTTGCATTTATAATCATTAAAAAGTTTGGCTTGGAGTTCTCTTTTATGGTTGGGTCATTTTTTAGTTTTGGTATCAGGCTATGCTTGCTTCCAGGAATGATTTTTGGGTGTACTGCTTCCCTTTTGATTTCATTCAAGAGTTTGAGGTGTATTGGTATTAATCTTCTCTAAAATTCTTGTAGAATTCAGCAGTGAATTTATGGAGACTTGGGTTTTTCTTAGTAGAGTTTTGGGGTTTCTTTTGTTTTGTTTTGTTTTGTTTTTGGTACTGGGGATCAAACTCATCACCTTGCGCTTGCCAGGCAGGCACTTATGCCACTGAGCTGTATCCCCAGCCCTGTTAGGGTTGTTTTTAGTCAATTTCATCAACTGATATTGAATCATTCACAACTTTTGTATCTCCTTGATTCAGCTTTAGCACTTCATATTTATCTAAGAACCTATCTATTCCTCCTAAATTTTCCATTTTATTAGAAAACAGGGTCTCAAAGTAGTTACCAATGACCTTCTGGGTTCCTGCACAATCTATTGTGATGCTTTTTTCTTTTTTGTTTGTTTTTATATCTGTTTTTTGAGGCAGGTCTTGCTATGTAGTTCAGGCTAACCTTGAACTTACTACATAACCTAGACTGGCCTCAAACTCACAGCAACCCTCCTGCCTCAATTTCCTAGGTGCTAGGATGTCAGGCACATGCCTACTAGCAGATGAATGGATGAAGAAAATGTGGTATTTATACGCAAAGAAGTACTCTTCTGCCATAAAGCTGAGTCATTTTTAGGTAAATGGATGCACCTCCAGACTATAATCTTAAATGAAATAAATCAGACACACAAGTTTAAATATCACATTGTTTCTCTTGTGTGAGAAACCCAAAGTATAAACAAGCTAAATAGAGGATGGAGATTAGGAAGTAAGAAAAACTGGTTCAAACGGGAAAGGGAACAAGAGATGGGAGAGGGGAAGGGGAGGGAGGGAAGGAAGGCAGAGAGATTTAAAGGAAAACAATGATCTGAAACAAGTGGAAATAGGTAGAGCTTTTGGAAAAAGTCGGGGCAGGAGAAAGGTTGGGGGGAAAGGGGAAGGCTCCAGCTGCATGTGTACACGTTCAAATCCCTCCTGATGAAAGTGTTCATTATGTACTGCGTGCCTGTATTAATAAAACAGGTTGACATTACTTCGTAGATATTTAAACTGATACTGGAAGACCACCTTGGTACACAATCACTTTGACTTCCGTTCCCCAAATCCTTTGTGCTTGCAAAGTCAGTATGGAAAGGAGGATCTGTAACAAGGCGAACGCCTTCAGAGACCCGGGTTTTTATATAGTTTCGCTGACTGGGACAGCTGCGGGGCGGGGTGGCTGGGGGCGCCCAGAAGGCGGACACAATGGCAGACACGGAAGAGGAACTAGATTTACGCCACTTCCGGCGCCGTTGCCAAGGAAACGCGCGCTCCTCCGGAAGGCAGCACCACTTCCGGCGCCGTTGCCAAGGAAATGCGTCCACCTCCGGAAGGCGGCGATCGGCGGCTGGCGGCTCCACCTCCGGGCCGGTACCGCACTCCGTTTCTGTGGCCGTGGGCTGGAGTTCCGCCGGGGTCAGCGCCAGCAGTCCCCTCGGTGGGTGCCAGGGCCCGTCCGCGCTCTGGAGGACGGTTCCTTCCCCCTGCCCTCGCGTCCTTCACGGTGACCTTATGTCTGTCTGTCTGGCTGAAAGGCCCGCGCGCTTGCTTTGGCTTCGCGCAGATCTCGCTGCGCTCGGCTGCCTGTGAAATTCTTGTTGTCCCCCCACTTGATAAGGTAGCTTCAAGTCTTTTCTTTATTTTAAAGTAGTTTTTTTTTCTGTTCTACCCTCATTAGGAAGGACCACTGATGGAAGAGTAAACCGAAATTAAGAAACCGATGAAGACGATTAAGCACAATATTTAGTCGATAACATTTGGTAGTGAAACCAAAGTAGTAAAGTTTTTCATCACAGATTGTTTTACACCGTTTAAAATAAGTGAAAAGTTTTCAGAGTAAGTGTAAAGGAAAATCTCGACATATGTTGTGGAGTTTTTTTTATGCTTCTGCTGTATCGTTTTAGATTTCATATCTATTATAATAAAAATTACTAACTTGAGACAGTGCCTCCCGAGGTAGTTAACGCACTCACAAAATTTTTATATTTGAATATACAAGAGGCACGTGAATGCAGTAAAATACTTCATTTGAACAATGGATTGATAATACATTTTATTACCTTAAAATTTATGCAAGATTTTTACATGTGTTAATTTATTTGTAGTTACGTAATAACATGAAATAAGTCTTATTTAAGTTCTGGCCCTCCTTTTATGTCTCTTTAGGTTTACCCTTAAATTTATACCCTTTACAACTTTAATTTCTCCTCACCTGGATCATACCTAACAACATCTTAACATGCTTTAGTATCTCCCATAGTAAAAGAAATGCAAAAGATTTTAAATCCATTTCCACCTTTCACCAATCAGCCCATTTCTCTGATTCTCTATAGTACACCAAAGAGTTGTGACCAGCCAGGCATGGTGACACATGCCTGTAATCGCTGTACGGTAATCCAGGAGGGTTTTTGTGAGTTGGAGACCAGCCTGGGCTACAAAATGAGCTCAAGGCAGCCTGAACTGCAGGATGTGATCCTGTCTCAAAAAGACCAAAAAAAAAAAAAAAAAAAAAAAAAAAAAAAGGAAAAAAGAAATTGTCACTGTACTTCTTACTTTCCTGTTCCTGCAACCAGCTCCAGTCTTTCCCCTGCTGCTCCAGTGAATCAGCATTTAACGATCACTGGTGACTTCAAACTAATCTAAACCTTTATTCTGAATACACTTGACCCTTAGCAAGATTTTATGCAATAGGTATATGCTCTCTGTGTGTGCAACTTCACTACTTCTCAGTAGTGTGAGTTATTTCTGAACCAGGTAGTAATTTTGAGTGTGGGGTTTGAAGTAGCTCCATGGTAGAGGGCACAGTTGGCATAAGTGAGGCCCTGAGTTCTGTCCCTATCATTAAAAAAAAAAAAGTAAAAATACATATACTGGGCCAGGCGTGGTGGTTTACGCCTGTAATCCCAGCCCTCTGGAGGCTGAGGCAAGGGAATCATTGCAAATTCGAGACCAGCCCGAGCTACAAAGTGAGCTCAAGGCCACCCTCAACTACATAGTGAGACTGTTCTTGCTTGGGAAGGAGCCACCTGGGTTTCCACCGTGGGGCGATTGCTTGTGCATGGGCCCAGCTGCCAGGTTTTACCTTGCCTGGAACTGTGGTGGTTATGGTTTTGAAGACTTTAGGCATCGCGCTTGGGTTTCTGGACCTGGACGTTGCAACAAAAAGTTGGCATTTGGGTGTCTCTGCAACCCTGAAAATTATTTTAGTTGTTCCTGTCTTGTCCTCAGTGTTGAAGGGAGAAGAGACGGACGACATAAATTTGGGGCTAATGGACTGTGTAAACAGGCGCCCCTCACATGATTAGCAAGCATACATACAGAGCCAAGTAGGGATCTGACCCAAAAGGGTTAAGATAATTAGTCAAACAAAAATACTGAGTTTTCTTTCTTCTTTATTTCTTTACCTTACTCCCACTGTGGCCAGTTCAGGTTATCTCAAGGCCCCACTTACACCCCGGCACCCCCATCTCTGTTAACTCTAGAAGGTGGTGTCCTGCTCGAGGCAAATTAATGAAAATTAATTTGTTCAATACATTTCGTTATAGAAGTAAGAAAAAAATGTGCCTTAGGGTTAGTGATTAGCTTTTATTGGTGCATTTTAAATACACAAAGCAATCATATAAAAATGTGCCTTTAAATTTCTCAGTTGTTTCACCACTTAATATAGACACACATTTATGTATATATATTTGAGTAGGGAAGAGCTAATATAAATACCATAGATTGTTTAAAAACTTTAAAAATTAATATTGTCACATCCATATGTATCTTCATCTCTTAATATTCTCGCAGAATGCTATTATATAAATGCATAGTAACTAATTGATCTGTCCAATCAATAGTTAATTTTTGATTGCCTGTGATTTGCTAGAAATTGGGTTAGGGGGTATAGCCATAAACAAGAGGAATCTGCTCTGAGGGAAATTTACATTGTAGAAGGTGAGACAGTGAATATGTCCAACAATGAGCCACTGATGATTCCCCCAGATACGGACTGTCACAGGCTCTAAACTCCCTACTTGTGTCACAGAGCAAGCAGGTGAGTGTAAAGGACGCTTGGGTGAAATTATTTAGGTCAGAGTGCTTGGGAAACACAGTCACATGTTAGATAAAAGGGTTTTTAAGCCCAAGGTTAATGTATTTACAAAACTGGGAATGTTATTAGGGAAAATGCTGAAAATGTCCTGAATTATCACTGATCTTATCATGTAATATTGCATATCAGACATGTTCTGGTTACGCGTTAAAACCAAGCACTATGCATTGAAAACAGATAAAAACCACAAAGTTTAGTTCTTTTTTTTTTTTTTTTTTTTTTGTCTTTTTCGTTTTTATCGGTACCAGGGATTGAACTCACGACCGCCTGCTTGCAAGGCAGGCGCTTATGCCGCCAAGCTAAATCCCCAGCCCCCAAAGTTTAGTTCTTTATGACGATTTAAAAAACCAGTATACAAATGTCCTCTTTATGCTTAGTTTTTCACTTTAGTAAAACCTAGAATTAAGCAATGTGGAATTAAGAATTAGAATTGTAGAAGAAATCTAGAATTAAGAATTAGACATTTTGAGGACAATTTGACAAATTTTTACCTGCAAGCTCCTTCCTTTTAATGAAGATACACATATATATGTGTACATGTGTGTATGTACGTATCTAAATCACATACACATTGTAGAAAAATTGAACAGTGTAAAAAGCACAATGAAATAAAATATTTTTCAGCCCTGATCCCAGGTCCCTTGGTGTACCGACTCCTCCTCAGAGATAATCACTGTTAGCAGGTTTTTTTTACACTTTCCAGAGAGAGTCTGTGCAACTGTATATGTGCATACTTTTTGTCACAGCAATTCTAAAAATTTATTTTATAAAAATAGTAGCCCATGTTACGCAGATGCAAGTATAAAAGATACTGTATAATCAGGAAAAATTCTCAATGTGAAATGGAGGAAGGATTAACATACGCACACCTGAGAATACTGTGCAACTATAAAAAGAACAAGCACGATGTATATGCAGCCGTTAGAAAAGCCTCAACGCACGCCAAGTAAAAAGAAAAAATGCAGAGTTTGATCACATTAAAGTAAGCAAATGGGTATGTGTGTTTTCTGTACTGTATATAGGCATATACATACTATATATATACACACACACACACAAGTATAGATGTAGATATACAACATGGGTGTAGTTATACCTGTATTTTTCGGTTTAAATGTGTAAGAAAACTGGAGGAATTTCACATGTACTAAAAACTTTGGAAACTGAATTGGGCAAAAATATGAGGGTGGACAGTGTTTACTTTTCATTCTCTAGTTACTGCTTGAATTTACATAACTTAAATTTAGATAACATTATGAATAAATTTAGATTTTGAGCAGCAGTGAGACATTAAGGGATGATATTTACATATACTTTAATGCTATTTAATTGCCCTGGTTCTGTTGTTGTTTGTAAATAGCCAAAATTACTGTATTCTCCATGGGCCATTCCAAAGCAAATAGATAAGAAAATGTAAGGAATAACGGGGCGTGTTTAAAAACTTACTATACAGTTTTCTATGCTTTAAAGTTGAGATTTTGGTAAGATTTTTTAGAAGTTACATAATCTCAAATGAAAACATCTATTCCTGCATTTGTTTTTAAAATGCACTGGTGGCCTTCAGAGCTGACCGTCACACACCGCACTGCCCGGGCTGTCCCGGCCTCCGGGGTGGGTGCAGTTCGCCGCCCTAGTCCAGCGCGAGGGGTGGGCAGCGGGGCTCCGGGACAGCCTGCGAAGGCAGAAGACCCCCAGCCCGAAAACAGCAGCCAGGCCTGTGCATGCCACTTCAAGGCCCCAACCTGTCCCCTGTCTGCTCGTGCCGCTGTACTTGGTAAGGAAAGACAAGTTTATTTTCTCTTGCAAAAAATCTTTATCCGGGAAGTGGCCTTAATTCTTGTTTCCGTCTCTTCCTCGCTCCCTCCACTTCTGACTTCCCTTTACGAGGATCCTGCTTCTGCTTTGCACGGTGTGAGGGAACCGGGATGGGTGTCGGGGCCTGCGCCTGGCACTGCGGGCTCAGGCGCGTCTGTTTTCAGGGTTTACCCGGGAATCCTGAGGACGGCCAGCTCTCCCGGCCTGTAGAGCCCTGTCCTCTGCAGGGGTTCGTTTGCTAACGGTCATTCAGTCCAGCTGCAGGATTTGGCTGCTGTGAGTCGTACTGCTGTAAACATGCACACGCATTTATCACTGTAACTTGATTTTAATTCCTTTGCGAAGATAACTGTACCTAAAAGTGGGAAACCGGGTCAATGGAATTTCTACTTTTAGGTCTCTGGGGAAACACCGTACTGAGTTTTGTAGTTTTGTAGTTCCCACCAAGAGTAGAGAAGTTTCCTTTTTCTTTGCAGCCTCCCCACCATTTATCATTATTTGTTTCTTAATGAGAGTCATCTTTTCTGGAGTACAGTGACATCAGTGTTGTTTTAATTTGTGTTTCTCTAATGGCAAGAGATTTTTTCAGACAAGGTTCACAAAGCAGTTCGGGCTGATCTTCAACTCATTTTGTAGCCCGGGCTGGCCCTCGGAGGTCCTCCTGCTTCATCCTCCTGAGTGCTGGGATTACAGGTGTGTAATCTCTACCATGCTGGCAGAGAACATTTTTTTCATGTATTTTATTTATTGGTCATTTGTACTACTACCTTGAAAAGTACCTTTATTTCAGTTGCCCATTTTTTGGTTTGGTCTCTTTTTTCGAGAGGGGACCTAATATTTAGGAATATTTTACATAGCTGCGTATTAGTCCTCTTTCTAAGGACCATCTGGAAGTTGTTCTGCGTTCTGCAGGTTGGCTTTTCACTCGGGTATTTCCGTTGCTGTGCAGAAGCTTTCGGTTTGATATCCATTCATTGATTATTGGTACTATTTCTGCAACATTTGGGTTTCTGTTCAGAAAGTACTTAGCTACTCCTGTGTCTTCAAGAGTTTTATCTACTTTATCTTCCAGCAGATTTAGCATTTCTGTTTTTTTTTTTTTTGTTTGTTTGTTTTTTGTCTTTTTCCTTTTTATCGGTACCAGGGATTGAACTCACGACTGCCTGCTTGCAAGGCAGGCGCTTATGCCGCTGAGCTAAATCCTCAGCCCCTAGTGTTTCTGTTCTAACATTTAGATCTTTGATCCATTTAGGTTTTAGCTTTGTATATTGTGAAACATTGGTCTACAGTCAGTCACCTGCATGTGGATGGTCACTTTTCCCAGCACTGTTTATTAAGCAGGTGGTCTTTCCTCTGGTGTATGTTTTTCCAGTCTGTCAAAGATAAAACAGCTGGCAGTGCCTGGAGTTGTTTCTGCATCCTGTTTTCTGTTGCACTGATCCACAAGTCTGTTTTTGTGTCAGTACCATGCTGTTTCAATCAGTGTGGCTTTGTGAAGTATGATTTGCAAGGTGTTTTGTTTTTTGTTTATTGCAACAGTGTCTCACTATGCAGGTGGCCTTGAATTCATACTGGTCTTGAATTAATGGCGATCCTTCCTGCCTCAGCCTTCCTCAAGTGCTACACCCAGAGGCTGTGTATTGTACCTTGAAGTGCAGGATTGTGATACCTCCTGTTTTGTTCATGTTGCCCGGGATTGTTTTTGCAATTTTAGATTTATTATAGATTTTAGGATTATTTTCTCTAGGACTGTGAGAAATGCTGTTGCTGTTTTGATTGGGGCTACATTGATTCTGTATCAAATTTGGAAATAATGGCTATTTGGGGAGCCATGTTAGTTCTGCCTCTTCAGGAGCAGGGAGATACTTTCATTTTCTGATGTCTTCAGTCTCCTTTAGAGGGCTGTAGTTTTTGTTGTAGACTTCCTTGGCTAGGTTAATTCTCAAGTATTTAATTTTTCTCTGCAATTGAGAATGACATTTTTTCCTAATTTCTTTCTTGGTGAATTAATTATTAGTATACAGTAACACTGATTTTTGCGTTTTGATTTTGTATCCTGCTATGCTACTGAATTTGGTTGTTAGTTCTAGGAGGCTCTTGGTAAAATTTTTGGGTCCTCTATGTAGACGGTCATGTCAGCTTCAAATCATGTAATTTGATTTCTTCTTTTCCTATGCATATTCCTGTTGTTGCTTTCTCTTTCTGATTATTCTTGCTAATTAGAGTTTTGCTTATCCCTATTTAATATGATGTTGGCCATTGGTTTATCACAAATGGCTTCTATCAGATTGAGGTAAGGGCCCTGTATGCCTATTTTCTTTAAGCTTTTTATCACGAGGGGATGTTAGATTTTGTCAAAGGCTTTTTCTCTGAGTCTGTTGAAATGATTTTTTAAACTTCTAGTTATGTGATGTTTTTATGTATGTTGAACCATCTCTGCAATCCTGGCTTGAGTCCTACTTGATCATAATGTGTGATCATTTTGATTCACTGCATTCTGTTTGCAAGAATCCTGTTAGATAATTTTGAGTTCTATGTTCGTTGAAGATATTGGCCTGTAGTTCTCTTTTGGTCGTGTTCTTTTCTGGTTTAGGAATAAGGATAAATCTAATTTCTAGGAATTACTTTAGGAATACTCCTTTCTTTCAATTTTATTATAGAATTTGATGAGTATTGGCATTAAATCATTCCTAAAATTCTTGCCGAATGATTTCATTGGCACCTGGGCTTATTTTGTTGATAGATTTTTTATAAATTGCTTCAATTTTATTGGCTGTTGTTGGATTATGCAGGGTTTTATGCCTTCTTGGTTTCATTTTGGTAATATGTATGTACTAGGAATCTGTCCACTGCTCTGGAGTCTTCAATTTATTAGAGTACAAATTCTCAAAGTAGTTATTAGTAATGATCTTCTGGATTTCAGTGGTGTCTGTTGGAATTTCAACTTTTTTGTTTCTAATTGCATTGATTTGGGTCTGTTTATTTTTTTTTATAAAATGGCTAAAGGCTTGTCTATTTTATTTTGTACATAACCACCTCTTTGATTCATTGAGTCTTTGTATCATTTTTAGTCTCAATTTTATAATATCTGCTCTGTTCTTTGTAATTTCACTTTGAATTTGGGTTTTCCTCATGTTGCTAAGCCTTGAGGTTCTTCATTATGCTTTTCGCTTGGGCTCACACTGCCTTCTGATGTGGGTGTTCACAGCTGTGAACTTGCCTCTGTGGACTGCAGTCACTGTGCTGACAAGTTCTGGTATGTTTTACAGACATTGCCATTTATTTCTAGGAACTAGTTTCTTCCTTCATTTATTCTGTTTTCCATTGATTACTCAAGAGAGTATTGCTTAACTTCCTTGTGTTTAAATAATTTCTTTGGAGATTTTGCCATTTATCACTGGTTTCATTTCAGTCTTAACCAACATGGTATATGGGATATGGGAAATTTTGATTTTTTTTTAAATTTATTTACGCACAACTTCAAGTTCAATACTGGCGTGGTTACTATTTCACCGTAGGCCTTGAAGTTTGCTCTCTTCATCTCTAACATAAGCATATTGATAACATCTGCTACACAAGGTTGTGTCATAATTAGAAAAAATAAATAATTTGGAACATATCGGGCAATCAATAACTGGTGACATTTGAATAGAAATATTTTGACCCCAAATCCCATTTTTTTTGTTTGTTTGTTTTTTTGAGACAGTTTCACTATGTAGTTTAGGTTGACTTTGAACTCACTGAATAGCCCGGGCTGGGCTCAAACTCATGGTGATCCTCCTGACTCAGCCTCCCAATGCTGAGGTTGCAGGTGTGACCAGCGTACCTGGAACAAATCTCAATTTCACCATTTCCTTTACATCTCTATTTAATTTCTGTTGAGCATATAAAATAATTTTTTTTTGTGGTACCAGGCATCGAACTCATGACCTGGTGCTTGCCTATTTAAATAATTTTAATGAACCTTTTTGCTTATTTTCTTTTAGGACTCTCAAATGTCCCAGCAAAAGGAATTCACAAAGCAGGATAGAGCTGCAAGAATCATTCAGAGGGCCTGGAGAACTTGCCTTGTGAGTGTCTTTAGCAGCTCTGTTGAGATTCCTTTTCTACATCCTAAAATTTACCTGTTTAAAGTATACGACTAGGCTTTTAGTATATTTACAGAATTGTGCTTCAGAAGTAGGGTGAGGTTCAGAAAGACACAATTAATTATTTCATTAGCTTCCCTGGTATTTATCGAGTTCCTGAAGGGCCAGGTGCTTTGACAATGGCTGCTAGCGGTTAAAGTGTTACTAATGGGCTCATTTGACTCTCGTTTCTTAAATGCTTGCTTTCTTGACTCAGATTAATGAGTAAGTTTTGGGGGTATATTTACTCATTTAAATATTTATTGAGTCCTTGCTCTGGAGAGCTTATAGTTTAATGGCATATTATATCTGGTAGGTTTATTGTATTGTTGTGTTAAAGCTGGTCTCAGGACACTAACCCCCGAGCCCAGCCGCGCCTAGCCATCTGCGTGCTGAGGAGGAACTGGGCGGATCCGGAGTGCCTGCAGAAGCCCGTTCCTTTGTCTGAAGGACTGAATACTGCAAGCAGGGAGGGATCGCAGGTTCCTGAGGCACCTCAGCCTGTGGTGAGTGCCCAGCACAGTCTGCCCAAATCTCAGACTGTTCCGGACCCCCCAGGCTTCTGGGTGCAGTGAAGTGGAGCAGTGGGTTAGAGGCCACTACAGCCGCCTCCCCATCCCTCCCGGCTACACTTGGAAGTCTGCTGAGCTCCTGACGGATGGGCAGGCCTACACTAACCCCTGAGCCCAGCCGTGCCTAGCCATCTGCCTGCAGAGGAGGAGCTGGGCGGATCTGGAGTGCCTGCAGAAGCCCATTCCTTTGTCTGAAGGACTGAATACTTCTGCAAGCAGGGAGGGATCGCAGGTTCCTGAGGCACCTCAGCCTGTGGTGAGTGCCCAGCACAGTCTGCCCAAATCTCAGACTGTTCCGGACCCCCCAGGCTTCTGGGTGCAGTGAAGTGGAGCAGTGGGTTAGAGGCCACTACAGCCGCCTCCCCATCCCTCCCGGCTACACTTGGAAGTCTGCTGAGCTCCTGACGGATGGGCGGGCCTACATTAACCCCTGAGCCCAGCCGCGCCTAGCCATCTGCCTGCAGAGGAGGAGCTGGGCGGATCTGGAGTGCCTGCAGAAGTCCCTTCCTTTGCCTAGAGGACTGTGGATATCTCTGCAAGCAGGGAGGGATCACAGGCTCCTGAGGCACTGCGGCCTGTGGTGAGCACCCTAACCCGGCTGTGATTGAAGAGCTGTGGATCTTCCAAGGGGCAGGTGGGCGCACAGTGTCCCTGAGGCCCAGATTGTCTGGAACTGCGGAGTTCTGAGCAGGCAGAGGAGGGCCACTGGTTCTGTAGGCCCAATGGCTTGGGGTAGTGCGGTGTCAGAGTCTCAGTAGCTCCAAACATAGAAGGGGATTTTCAACAGATCCTGAGGAAGCTTTCAAATAACACTTGAAACACAGAAATATAGAAAATGACAAAACGAAAGACCAAATTACAACCTCAAACCTCCAGCCCATCTCAGGAAACCCTAGGAGCAATGTATATCGAAGAAAATATATCCCATCCACCTCATATATCGGACATAATAGCTACTGAAGTTGACAAACAACTCCAGGAAGCTTTAAAGAAATTCAAACTCGAAATAATCTCCCAGATAAAAGAAGAAATGATAAAAGAAATGAAAGAGATTCTAAATATATCTAAAGAAAACACAGATAAAAAATTGGAGGAACTAAACAAAAAGATAGAATCCCTAGACGAGCAATATGAGAAACAAACAGAATACATAATGCAGATGCACAGAGATATACAGGAAATAAAAAACTCCACTGAAAGTTGTAAAAACCGACTTAATGAAAGTGAAGATAGAATTTCAGACCTTGAAGACATGATTGCAGCTAGTGAACAGGAAAGGAAAGATCTTTTGAAAATAACAAGGAATCAGGAAACAACAATTCAACAACTGCAAGACAATGCAAAGAAGAATAACATAAGAATGATAGGGATTAATGAAAGAGAGGGAGACAACATAAAGGATGTCAAGAGGATATTTAGAGAAGTAATAGCTGAAAATTTCCCAAGCATGAGATCAGAAACTGACATCAAGATCAGTGAAGCATATAGAACTCCAAACACTCATAACCAAAATAAAACTACACCCAGACATATAATAATCACCATCCCAGAAATCCAACATAAGAATAGATTATTAAAAGCTGTCAGAGAGAAAAGACAGATCACTTATAAAGGAAAACCTATCAGAATCACAGCAGACTTCTCAGCACAAACGATAAAGTCAAGAAGAGCATGGAGTGAAATATTCCAGATCCTAAAGCAAAATGATTTCCAACCAAGACTGATATATCCTGCAAAACTATCATTCAAAATAGATGGTGCAATACGATACTTCCATGACAAAGAACAGCTGAAGAACTTCATGAACACCAAACCGACCCTGCAAAAAATATTGAAAGACAGTTTAGATACACAAAGGAAAAAACCACTAAGCAAAGCAAATAATTAAACAGAACAGAAAGATAAAGATGCAACAGCAGAGAGATAACATTCCTACAATTAACCAGCATTTAACAGTAATAACCATTAATGTAAATGGTCTCAATGCACCAATCAAAAGAAACAGACTAGCAGAATGGATCAAGAAACAAAATCCAACCATATGCTGTTTACAGGAAACCCATCTAACCCAGAAGGATACTCACAGACTGAAAGTCAAAGGATGGAAAACAATTCTTCATGCAGCAGGAATCCAAAAAAAGGCAGGAGTAGCCATTCTGTTTGCAGACAACGTGAACTTTAAACCAACAATGACCATAAAGGACAAAGAAGGTCACTACATACTCGTAAGGGGAAAACTCCAAGAGGAAGAGATAACTATCTTAAATATATACGCACCAAACTCCAGAGCACCAAGTTATATAAAACAATTATTAACAGAAATGAAAACTCAAATTATCAGTAACACAATTGTAACAGGAGACCTTAATACGCCATTGACACCAAGGGACAGATCAACCAGACAGAAAATGAGCAAAGAAATAACAGAACTGAATCATACCTGTGAACAAATGGGTTTGATAGACATATACAGGATGTTCCACCCAACAACATCAGAATACACATTCTTCTCAGCAGTACATGGATCATTTTCTAAAATAGACCATATATTAGCTCACAGAAGATATTTAAACAAGTGCAAAAGAGCTGAAATCATCCCTTGCATGTTATCGGATCATAGCGCTCTGAAATTAGAAATTAATGATGAAAGATACTGCAAAAATCCCACAAACACATGGAAACTGAATAACATACTCTTGAGTAATCAGTGGATCACAGAAGAAATTAAAGAAGAAATCAAACAATACCTAAAAGAAAATGAAAATACAGATACAACTTACCGGAACCTGTGGGATGCAATGAAAGCCGTCCTGAGAGGAAAATTTATTGCACTGAGTTCCCACATCTGGAAAACAGAACGAATACAAATAAATAACTTGATGCTATACCTCAAACAGCTAGAAAAAGAAGAGCAAGTCAAGCCCAAAGCCAAAAGAAGGAGGAAATTATAAAAATCAGAGCAGAAATCAATGCAATAGAGACTAAGAAAACAATCCAAAGAATCAACAAATCAAAGAGTTGGTTCTTTGAAAGAATAAATAAAATCGATAAGCCCCTAGCCAACCTTATTAAAAAAAGGGAAGAAAAAGCTCAAATTCATGCAATAAGAAATGAAAAAGGAGAAATCACTACAGACCCAATAGAAATACAGAAGATCATCAACACCTATTTCGAAAACCTCTACTCTCAAAAGTTTGATAACACAGAAGAAATAGACAGATTCTTAGAAGCATATGAAGTGCCAAAGCTAGATCAAGAGGATGTAAAACTGTTGAATAACCCAATCTCTGTTACTGAAATTGAAAATGTAATTAAGTCCTTACCCACCAAGAAGAGCCCAGGCCCAGATGGATTCACTGCAGAATTCTACAAGAAATACAAAGAAGACCTAATGCCGACACTCCTCAAACTATTCAATGAAATTGAAAGGGAAGCAATCCTTCCTAAGTCATTCCTGGAAGCAAATATTACTCTAGTACCAAAACCTGAGAAAGACCCAACTAAAAAAGAGAACTATAGACCGATCTCCCTAATAAACACAGATGCAAAAATCCTCAATAAAATATTGGCAAATAGGATCCAGCAAATCATCAAGAAGATTATACACCATGACCAAGTGGGATTCATCCCAGGAATGCAAGGATGGTTCAACATACGCAAATCAATAAATGTAATCCACCATATCAATAAAGCCAAAAATAAGAATCACATGATCATTTCTATAGATGCAGAAAAAGCCTTCGATAAGGTCCAACATTTATTCATGATAAAAACACTACAGAAAATTGGAATAGATGGTCTTTACCTCAATATAATAAAGGCCATTTATGACAAACCAACAGCCAGCATCATACTAAATGGCCAAAAATTGAAAGCCTTTACTTTAAAATCAGGCACAAGACAAGGATGTCCTTTATCACCACTCCTATTTAATATAGTACTGGAAGTACTAGCCAGAGCAATTAGGCAAGAAAGAGAAATAAAAGGGGTAAAGATAGGAAAAGAAGAAGTTAAGATGTCATTGTTTGCAGACGACATGATACTCTACATAGAAGACCCCCTAAGCTCCATTGAAAGACTCTTAGATACAATAAATAAATTCAGTAATGTGGCTGGATACAAAATCAATACTCAGAAATCAATAGCATTCCTATACTCAAACAACAAAATCACAGAGAGGGAAGTAAGAGAAACTGGATTATTCACATTAGCAAGCAAAAAAATGAAATATTTAGGAATTACTCTTACGAAAGAAGTGAAAGACTTATACAGTGAAAACTATAATACACTGAAAAAGGAAATTGAAAATGATCTCAGAAAATGGAAAGACATCCCTTGCTCATGGATAGGAAGAAGAAACATTGTGAAGATGGCCATTCTCCCAAAACTCTTATACAGATTCAATGCAATCCCAATAGAAATACCATCAACATACCTTATAGATCTAGAGAAATCACTCCTAAATTTCATCTGGAACCAGAAGAGACCTAGAATCGCAAAGGCAATTCTAAGCAGCAAAGGCAAAGCAGGAGGCATCACAATCCCTGACTTGAAATTATACTACAAAGCAACAGCAGTAAAATCAACATGGTATTGGAATCAAAACAGAGGCGAAGATCAATGGAATAGATTAGAAGATACAACCACAACTACAAACACACTCAACCACCTTATCTTTGATAAAGGAGCCAAGCAGGTTCACTGGAAGAACGACAGTCTCTTTAATAAATGGTGCTGGAAAAACTGGCTCTCCATTTGCCGAAAACTAAAGCTAGACCCATGTCTATCACCATGTACTAAATTAAAATCTAAATGGGTCAAAGATCTGAATATTAAAACAGAAACACTAAATCTACTGGAAGACAAAGTGGGTAGAAACCTTGGAGACATAGGAGTAGGTAGAGAATTCATGAACAGGACTCAAACCGCACGGGAAATACTTCCCAGAATCAATAACTGGGACCACTTCTTATTAAAAAGTTTCTGCATGTCAAAAGAAATCTCCAGCATAGTGAAAAGAAAACCCACAAACTGGGAAAAGATTTTAGTGAACTCTCTCTCAGACAAGGGCCTCTTGTCTAAAACATATAAAGAATTAAAAAAACTCAGACCTCCAAAATTCAAAGATCCAATCCAAAAATGGGCATCTGAGATGAATACGCAATTCTCAGATGAAGAAATGCAAATGGCAAATAAATATATGAAAACATGCTCATCATCATTGGTCATCAGAGAAATGCAAATTAAAACCACACTGAGATACCATCTCACTCCTGAAAGAATGGCCAGGATCAAGAAAACCAACAACAACAAATGCTGGAGAGGCTGTGGGGAAAAAGGAACTCTCCTGCACTGTTGGTGGGAGTGTAGACTGGTACAGCCTTTGTGGAGGTCTGTCTGGAGGTTTCTCAAAAAGTTGGGACTGGAAATCCCATTTATTTCAGCTATTCCACTTCTAGGCATATTCCCAGAAGAACTGAAAGCATCATACCACAGTGATATATGTGCACCTATGTTTATAGCAGCACAATTTGTAATCGCCAGATCTTGGAAACAACCCAAGTGTCCATCAACTGAGGAATGGATAAAAAAGTTGTGGTATTTCTATACAATGGAGTATTATTCAGCTATAAAGAAGGATCACATTGAGATATTTATCAATAAATGGGCGCAGCTTGAGACCATACTCATAAGTGAAATAAATCAATCTCGCATGTATGAATACCGAATAGTTTCCCTAATGTAAGTAATGATTCAAATATATGAAAATATGTGGCAATCATGATTCCCCATTATGTGGCCTTGAAGCCTTATAAAATTTTCACTTATTAATTAGAAAGGCTTTATTCTGGGCTTCTTGATATGGAAATATTTGAAGCTATAGTATATGAAGTTTTATCCAAATATCTCAAGGAAAAAGACAGACACTATGGTAACTATTATTCTTTAAAAAAATTATTTAGTTATTTCTTATGTTTATTTTAATTAAGGGAAAAATTTAAAAAATTAGGATATATAATAGTAACTCTTTTCGATTTCCTATTAACTTGTTTTGAAGTCCTGTAATACTCCCACGATCTTGTTTTGACTGATTAGACTCTGTTCCATTCTGTGGGATAGTATCAAGTCTGAGGGTATAGGCAACTACTTTGAAGGCAATAAGATTCACTAAGATGCCCATTCAGGTTTGACTATTGTCTCCTTTGGAAGTCCTGTAATGTTTACAATGTCTAAGTTTTATTGGTCTTGTTCTCTACTGTTTTGTCCAACTTTATAATATCTAATGAGATAGACAAATCTTTTTAAGGAAACAAGAGACAACGTTGATAACTATTGTTAATAACCGTGTACTCTGTTCTACATCATGTGCTAAGTCTATCCTTGGTTTTGACTGACAGCTTTGTTCTGCCATATTTGACTTTATTCTCCCCCCCCCAAAAAGTAACAAGAACTAAGGAGTAATAAAATCTAAAATGTGTAAATTTTGTTGTAAAAAGAGAGGAAGGGAAAAAAAAGAGCTCTAACGGATATAACAGCAAGTGTGTATAGGGGTGTTGAATAGCTGACTATATTAATGTTTTTGGATCATTGAACACAGCTGTTTGTAGTCTCTCTGTTTGAATGTCTACTTTGTATTCTTTGATACTGTGATTTGAGCAACTATTTCCAAGATGATAATATGTAATCTATTAACAGGTGATTTCTTACTGTTATGTTTTTTTTTTTGTAGTTCTGTATTATATGTAACCTTACACTGCTTTGTTTTGTTTTGTGTTTTTCTCTTTTTCCTCTTAAATTAAAAAAAATAAATAAATAAAGCTGGTCTCAGGGGCGTGAGGAGCATCCCAAGTCCGTAAGCTGGTTGGGTCAGGATGAGGAGCTGGGGCGGTTTCTCTTCTCCCCTCCTGGCCCGGCCATGCTCCATACAGTGACCGTCAGGGGAGCTGGACGGCTGTAGCACACAAGGCCTCCACAGAGGTGAACATTTTCCATTGTTTATCTCTTTTCCCTCTCCAAAAGCCATAAACCCAATGCTAGGGCAAAATTATATTGATTGCCAATATTAAAAGAATGATTTTCTTTTAAAACGGTGTCTTCTTTTGTTGGTGTCTCTCACTATGCTCATCATCTAAGTTAGACTTTAACATCAGTAACTTTTCCACCCGGCTATGTGTCTTCGAGTTCCTGTATATCCCTGGCACTGTCAGGTATTTTGTAATACAGCCTTATCCTTAAAGGAGCTGCAGTAGAGAAGCAATGTGTGAGTGTGTTTTTAAAAGATGCACGTGGGTTGGTAGATTGAGTGCACATTTTCACTTCTAACCCTGGGAGGCCCCCGAGGAATGCCAATATGTAAACAACATATCCACAACGCAGAGAAGGGGATTCATAAACAGGTTAGAAATCTTACCTAATTCTGGGGACTGAAAACAGATGGGCGAAACTAGGTAGATGCACTTGCCTAGACATACTTCAAGGGGTCTGGTACAGGAACTGCTTCGTCCCTTTCATCACAGAAAGGCTGTGAGTTTGAAGTCAGCAATTTTAAAAAGTTACAAGGAAAACTGAAGACAGGTTAACTGGAAACCTGGACCTGGGCTTCTTTGGCCGTTGTCCGCACTGTTCCCTCCAGACTCAAATGTGCAAGTAGATGAATATTTACCTCTGTCCAAATGTTGCTGTAAGGGGCTGGGGATTTAGCTCAGCGGCATAAGCGCCTGCCTTGCAAGTAGGCAGTTGTGAGTTTGATCCCTGGTACCGAAAAAAAGGAAAAAAGGCAAAAAAAACCCACCAAAAACAAAATGTTGCTGTAGATAGATATGTAATGTTAGACAAACACAAATATTAAGGCTTTAAAAAAAAAGTGGAGGCGGGATGGGAATTTAGCTCAGTGGCATAAGCTCCTGCCTGACAAGCAGGAGGTGTGTGTGTGCGTGCGTGTGTGTTAACGCGCACCCATGTGTTTGTTATTGGTTAATTTCTTGATGAGAGCCATTCTTTCTGGAGATGGAATCTCAGTGTTATTTCAGTTTGCATTTCTGAAATTCTCATATTCCTTGGTCATTTGTAAATCTTCATTTGAGAATTACAAATGACCAGGTGCCTTTTGTTTTGTTTACTGATTCTTTAAATTTAGGAAGTATAATTTTTTTGAGTTCTCTATATATTCTAGATAATAGTCCTTTGAGGAGTAGCTGGCAAATTTTTTCCCATTCTGTAAGAAAAATTCTTCATGAGAATAATACCAGTATTAACTGGCTTTTAAAATCAAACTGAGTGGCTAATATTTCTAAAATCTAGTTTCTAAAAATAAGATCTATTTTTATGGTTTGTATTTTTTCTCTAATTAAGCAAATAGGTAAATTAGAAATAAAGAATCTGATTTGACCATAAAATCTTACATGTTTGAACTTCAGAATGTTTCAGTATTCCAGCACTTTAAAAGTCTGATTGACTTGAGAAAACAAGGGGAGCCACGTCAGATCGTGAGATACATTGATCCTAAAGAGGTAAGAGCACCTTTGATGACACAGAATCTTACTCTTCTTTAAATGTGTGGCTACTTTATTAACTTAATGTTTCCCTTACAGTTTTTATGTATTACACATGTGTTGAAAGCTATAAGGCATACAAACAGTACGTGGCTTCATGACTCATCACAGGTGTACACACCTGTATGTCTTCACCCAGACTAATGTTTGCACACTTCAGATTGCCTGCTTCAGGTCCCCTTGGAGTGCTGCCTACCTTATCCTTCCAAAAGGATTTTGAAATTCTAACATATAACTTAGTTCTATTGTTCAACTACATATATAAATTTGTTTAAATATAAATATTGATCTTTTAAAGCAATGTCTTCTGAGGTTTATGATGCTTGCAAAAGTGTCATGTGTGTGTGTGTGTATATATATATATATATATATATATATATATAACAAAGGATAAGAGAGAAATGCATGGAATTTCTGTGTCACAAAATTTTGCATTGTTTACAAAGTGATGAAAGCACACGGGTACTAACGTAAGATAGACTGCAACAAGTAAAGGGTGCGTACCGGAACCTCTACAAGAACTCCTAAAAGAACCACAAAAACCAGTATTATGTAAAAGCTAACAGATGAGAACATATAGAATGCTGACAAGTAATCCAAAGAAATACAGGAAAAGAGAAATAATGCAAAAGAAAAAAAAATGAGAAAAGAAAAACCAAAAAGCAAGATTGTTGATTTAACCCAGTACATCAGTAAGAAATAACCATTCCTCACTTGATCAACTATGTCATCAAGTCTGTCAATAATTTTGTACTAAAATGTTTAAGTAAAAACATTATTATACTGTAAATAGACTAACCCAAATATGTAAAATCAAATGTTGTCAGGCAAGAAATATCATCTCTACAGTACTTGTAAGTCAATCTTTAAATATAATGGCATGACCAGGGGTTTAGCTCAGCGGTGTAAGCGCCTGCTTGGCAAACAGGAGGTCATGAGTTTGATCCCCGGTACCAAAAAAAAAAAAAGATACAAGTGAAAGAGTAACCAGGGATCTAGCTCAGCACCATAAGCCCCTGTCTGGCAAACACAAGGTCATGAGTTTCAATCCCCTGGACCAAAAAAAACAAAACAAAAAACAAGTGAAAGAGTAGAGAAAGGTTCAGTAAATCATGAATGAAAACTTTAATGGAAGAAGCTAGTGTCGTGGTGATAGCAAATAAGTTAGTTTTCAAGAAAGAGTATTATAAGATATACAGGGATATTTCATAAGTCAATTCAACTAAAAAAATATAACCCTAAATCTGTAAAGCAAAAATGAACATACAATAATTGCTAAAAGAAATATAGTAATTTTTGGTCAGACTCAGATTTGATTCCTGGCAATTGACAGAAACAAATACATAAAAATTAGTATAGAAATAGCATATTTTTATATGTTGACTCATTTATATATATAATAGTGATATATTGCTAACACTGCAAAATATCTAAAGTTGTATAAGCTAATGTTGTCTTTGCTTTAAATGCACAGGAAATGTTTTCTAACGTACGTTACGCACCTGGGACTTACTGCAAATGTCAATGATTGTAAAGCATTGAAACAATAAAGAATGTTCTCTAGACCCAAGGGAATTAAACTACACATCAGTAAGAGTAAAGGAAGTAGAAAGTCCCATTTTCAAGTTAATGACATGAAATTAAATAATACATGAGTTAAAAAGAAAATTAGAAAATATTTTATACTAGTGTTAATAAAACATGACATCAAAGATTATACAATATATCTGAAGTAGTTTATAAACTTCAGAGGAAATTTTATGATTCTAAAGAGAGATTTGAAAATCGGTTTATCTTTACTAACCTCAAGAAGCCAGAAAAAGACAAATCTGAAGAAAGTAAGAGGAAAGAAATAGTAATGCTAAAATCAAAAACCAGTAAATAGAAAGTATAAATAAAATACAGAAATAAAGAAATAAAGCCAGTTGGTACAATGAAAAAGTGAATAAAACCACTAGCACCACTGATACACCTCAGGGGCATGAGTCCAGGCAGAGGTGCTCAGCGTGGCCAATCATGGGAAATAAAAATTAAAGCTGCTGTGAGGCTTGGTCGTGACCCTGCCAGGAGGTGAACCTGAAAGGTTGGTGACTCCGATTGTCCCTAGACATGTGGCGCTGTCAGAGCCTTCGTATCGCGGTGGGCAGTAAATTGGGAGGAAAACTCTGGAAAATTCTTCACAGTGGCTGGTAAGCTGATTATACATACACCCCAGGCCATGAGTTGCCTGTGTCCCCCAAAAGCTCATGTATTGGAAATTGATCCCCAAATTCATATCTTGGTAGCATTTGAGGTGGGGTGTCTGGCCAACTGTTAGCATTAGACGGAATCGTGAAGATGGTGCCCCCCTGAGGAGGTGAGCGGCTTCATCCAAAGCAGAGACGCTGAAGGCTGCCAGCATGCTGTCCACCTCCTGAGCTGTGGCATGCAGCAGAACGGCCCTCCACAGCTGCTGGACTTCCAGGTCTCCACAAGGATGTGAAACCTCAGTTGGCTGTAAATAACGCAGTCCTAGGTATTCTGTGACAGTAGCAGAAAATGGGCAGAGATCCCCATGACCTCGTATTCCATTCCTGGGTGTGTAACTAAGAGAAAAGTACAGGAAGATGTCAGCAAGAATGTGCATGGCTTTTTATTCATCTCAACTCACCCTAGAGTCATTAAAATAATCCAGCAACAGAGCTGAAACACAGAGGTGGACTGTGAGGGTTCCCGATCACAGTGAAAAAGAACTAACTGCTGGATGCACAGCTACGCGGGTGAAACCTACTGAGACTGAGCGTAGATTCAAGCTGAGGAGAAAGCCAGGAACAAAACATTATGCATCTTATTATTTTGGGTACTGAGGAGTAAACTCATGACCTCGCACTGGACGGGCAGGCACTTGGTGCCACTGTGTTATTCTTTTGGATGAAGTTTCAAGCTGGAAAAAAATGTATGATGATAAAGGGTTCTGGGGAGGCTCTGCGCTGGGAGGAGTCACAAAATAGCCTAGAGGCCAAGGGTTTTGATGTGGGTGGGAAGTGTTGTAGGGACACACACATGTAAAAACTCATGCGGCTAAACTTGAAGTTTATGCAACTTTTGGTGAGAAAAATATTTATATAGAGAGCATATCACCATTAAAATATGAAAATGTATGTATTTTAAAAAATTTTTAATAGCAAACAATTAGAAATAATGTAAAATATCAGTAACTTAGGGTAACATCCATTTTCTCATGTAACGCGATCAGCAGATAAAGCTGAATCATCTTTTGAACGAGGGTCCAGGACTGCTTTCTCTACCTTTCATTGGGCGCAGAGCACTAATATTTAGAAGACCTTTTATGCACAATTCTTACAAAATGCTGAACTGGATTTTGATTTAGCAAAGCTGGAAAGGAAAGGTGTTCTAGTACTGAAACTGTGTTGGCTCCTCACAATTTTTTGTGAATTTACGTGTAATAAAATATTTATGTATGTAAGTCATGTATTTGAAGACTTACTTGAAATTTCTGTTTTATGAATAACAAATCACTTGCTTTTCTGTTGTGTAGGAAGGAAATACATTTTGGTATCATTTTCCCACTTATAAGCTGTTTTAGTCACGGGTGACCACAGAAATTTAGTTCTTAGCTCTTAAAATATTTTCTAATCAAAATCTAAGTATTTGTCACCTGTTCACTTGACTTATTTTATTTAAAAAATTCTATAACTATTTTAAATAATAAAATCAGAACTAACAAATTGATATATACAGAATGTTGGAGAGTAAGACATTTTTAATTTTTAAAATTGTATTAGTAGACATTTATAGTACAAAATGATTTCACTAACCTTGGGGAGTTGGTATGTGTAAATAATGTACCCTCATATTTTCTTACAGGCAGAATTTCTAGATGCTGCTGCTGGTGTTCACGTACGCTTCAGATTAGGGGGAGTAAGTATGTTGGAATATTTAGCAGTTTTAATGTACATTTATATGAAATTTAAATGATATAGTTAAAAAATGGAAACCATTTTTGTATTTGCACTGCAGTGATCCTTTGAACTTTTCCACCTACAGGCTAAGTTTCCACCTGATATATACTATAAAATTTTTACTCACAGACATATTGAAGATCTGTGTGCCAACAGCCCTAGAGATTACACAAAGTGCCCAGCGAAGCGCACATCTCCCGGTAAAGGCCGCCCTCAGGAGGAGGACCACAGCGGCTGGTACCGGCGGGTAGAGAACAACGGCTGGCGGCCCGTGTCTGAGCGGGTAGGAGGGAGACCAGCGACTTCAAGTTAATCACGTGTAGAAACTAATTGTCTTTTTGAAAATTAATTTTAAATTGTTTAAAAGTAAGAATTGCTAGTATGTACCTGTAATCCCTTAACAGTCTGGGAAGCTGGTCAAGAGAATCACAAGTTTGGGCCCAAGCTGAGCAAGTAAGCAGCTCAGGCAGACTCTGTCACCAAATAAAAAGTAAAAATGAGTGGAGATGTGGCGCAGAGTGAAGACCTGGGTCAGTCCCGTGCCAGAAAAACATAACTGCTAGACATTCAGTTGACAAAACTATGACACAGGGTTTTTAATAATTCTAATCTCTTCTCTACTTTCCATTTATTTCTTCTTTTGATAATCATCTTTGAAACTGGGCAATCTTTAGAGATTTTCTGGTGCTGGCAGATTATACACTCAGCATACAGATTATAGGCTGTGGTATGTTTATATACATAATATAACACATGAAAACAATTAGAGTGTGAATTCGACAACCTTTATCACATAATAGTTGCATGTTAGACATTGTTTTCCAGATGCCAGGACACCGTGATAGAAGAGATTTAGCTGTTTTCCTTGGTCTGTCTTTTAATTAGAGAGGTAGTTAAGTAAAGACACTAGTTCCGCGTGCTACGCTGGGTGGCTAATAGCAGCGAAGGCCTAGTGTGGCGGGCTAGCAAGCCTCACGCGTGTTACCTAGTGTGTGTGTGTGTGTGTGTCTGGGAGGGGTGAGGTGGAAGCAGGAAAGCAGTGGCCAGTCGGGGACGGGGCCCTGCAGAAGAAACTGAGGCAGGGACACGAGAGAGGTCTTATTTCCACGCTCCTGAAGGCGCCTGCTCACAGAGGTCTGCTTGCTTATTCAGAAGCTAGTGCTCAGTGTCCCGGTACACAAGGGCTGTGCAGCGTGTGCTCACGTCTTAATTATAAATACCTCATAAAGGTGGGTCGTGTCTTCTGCTTCTATCTTACTATATTTCTACTGGACACACAGATAGATTGGCATTTTGCAATCAATATTCCATACTTTGAAATATTCATTTTTTTTCTCAATAGTTTTGGATGCCAGCTGGCAGTGAAGTGGTGGAAGATAGAAAGGAAAGTGAATTCCATTTTTCTAAACTGAAGAGAAGACAAGATTTGGAGAGAAAAAGAAAAATTAGAAAAATAGAATGGATGAGGCAAATGTAAGTAGATGAAATGTTTAGACTTAGTAAAGAACTTGAAAGTATTTTAGAGAAAACAAATTTAGAAAACATACTATTTAACTTCAAGGCTTATAAATCATGGCATTTGTAGTGGTGGCATACAAACAGCCATGAATCTAAGTGGAGAAGCATACAAAGTGCAGAAAAAGGCCCACAAATAGACCGTTACATCGTTACATCGACTAAGGAACGGATAGAAAAGTGTTTCTGTATAATGGAATACCATCTATCCATAAAGAATGATAACTGAACACTCCACACGTAAGTGGATGTGCCGTGAGAACGTACTTACCGCTGAAGTAAATGTCAGACATCAGTATGACAAGGAAAAACATGTGTTTTGTCCCAGAGAGCATGATTTCCGCCAAGCAGCGACTCGGACACACTGCCTGTACCCTAACCCCCTGTGAGCCACTTGGGGTTGGCTTTGTCTGATGTCTTGTCTGATGTGCGACAAGGTGTGGTTTTTTTGCATGTGGATATCCAGTTGTTCAATATATTTTGGGGGTACAATCCTTTCTCCACTTAATTGTTTTTGCACCTTTGCCAGAAATCTGTTGTGTGGATCTATTTGGGACTCTGTATTGGTACTTGGGTGGTTTGTCTATCTTTATCAATGCCGTTCTCTCAGGATTGGTAGAACTGTGTGATGTCGTGGGACTGGGGAGGGTTGGAGCTCCAATTTTGTTGCTTTATCAAAGTTGTTTAGACTATTCTGAGTCTTTTCTGTTTTACAGAAATGTAAGAATCAAAATGTTAATCTTTATGGAAAATGATGTTGGCAGTTTGATAAGGAATTGTGTTTTTGATCTTTATTATTTTCTCCTTTTCATTTTGATTTTATTCTCTTTTAATTTCTCAAGGAAAGTTATGACAATATTTCATAACTTTCTTTTCTAATAAATGTACTTTATGTTAAAAAAAAAATGGGCCAGAGATTTAGCTCAGCTGCATAAGCGCCTGTCTGGCAAGAGCAAGATTGAGTTCAATCCCTGGTACCAAAAGAAAAATACATATACATACATATATATACATATATGTATATATATATAGTTAATCACTCATCAGCAAAGGTGCCACCAGAATTTATGTAATTAGAAAATATATTGTTTTCAACAAATTGGGTATTCAAATGCAGAAAAAATGAGTATGACTCTGTGTCATATTAAAATTACAATGCTGCCCCAGTTCTCAAATAACTTGCTCCATAATTCTGGGGAAGATGACCACATTCACGTTTGTCATTTGATGCGGAGTTCACAAAGGGAGGCAAAATTTTGCCCAGTGTGTTTCTCATCTCTGGCCAAATTGTTCACAAACAGAGGTGTTCATGAGCTGAGGCATTACTGTAACTTTAAAGAGATAATAGGTCTAAACATAAGGGCAAAGACCATAAAACATTTAGAAGTACCAAAAGGAGACTATTTCAGTGACCTTAATTTTGGCAATATTTCTTTATTATTGTTGCTGATTTTTATTTTAAGGAGAAAAAAGATAAACAATGAAACCAACTTACAAAAGCAGTCAGTAGAACAGTTACAATAGTTGATACACTACATACCTAGCAGCTGTTTAGAGTTCAGGACAGAGGCATGATGTGTTATTTAATCAAGCATTCCTTTCAAGGAACGTAGAGAAGCCAGCTGTGTAACTATCTTAAATATCTTGTGTGCACATATATTGCTTTTCTTTTTCCCCTTCCTTTACCCTAAATATTTCTTATGTAGGACACAAAATGTGTGAACTGTAAATGAAAAAATCCATTGAACCACACTTCACATATTTTGGTCTTCAACAGCCTGTTATAAAAATAAAACTGTGAGGCATAGACAGTGCTAAAAAATTACAAAATATATATCTAACGAAACTCTTAAATTTAGAACATACTTCTAAAATTGTGAAAAGTAATAAGACAGTATAATTTTAACATAGGCCAAAAATGTAAACAAGAACTCCCCTCAGTGAAGCTATACCGACAGCAGATTAGCAGCTCCATTAATGACGAGCGTCACTGGGCATTGCAGAAGTGCAAACCAGAGCGGTGAGACACCACCACACACCCACGGGAATGGAAAAAGTGTCTGTTGTACTAGTTGCTGGCAAAGATGTGGAGCAAATGCAGTTGTGCAGGTACTTTGGAAACATTCCGGCAGGTTTTATTTTCATTTTTAAATGTTTTTTGAGACAGAATCTAGCTCAGGCTGCCTCAGACTTGCAGCGATCTTCTGTCTCTCCCAAGCACTGGAATTACAGATGGTTGATACCACACCTGGCAGGTTTTTTAAAAAGCAATTTAACACATCTTCTAGTCTATATTCTACAGCTATTCCACCTTCAAGTATTTACTAAAGTGAAATAAAAATTTGTTCTACAGAAAGACTGCATACAGATGTTGAACCAGGTTTATTTGTTGTAGTGCTAAGTCGGAACCAATACAAATGTCCGTCATAGGTAAACATGTAAACAAATGGTGGTGTATCTGCACACACGTGCAAATAGTGTCCATCAATACAGAGTAATAAACTGTGGATACACGTGACAGTGCGAATAAGTCTCAAAATAATAATGCTGAATGAAACGGCAAAAGCATATACTATATGACCCCATTTACATCACATTCCAGAAGATATAAATCTAGAATGACAAAGATAAGTAGTTGGCTGGAGATGAGGGGGACATAGAGAAAGGATTCCCAGGAGGTGCAAGGAAACAGAGTAATGAATAATTAGTTTTTATTATAGTAATATATTCACAGGTGTGTGTATAAGCAAAACTTTAAATTGTACAATGCAGTATATGGTTTAGTGTACATCAGTTGTAGCTCACAGTTGTAAAATTTCTTTAAAGTGTGTGGGCAGACCGTCAGTTCTTCATCTCCTTTGGTTGTGGGTGAGGTGAGGGCAGCCCGACCGCCAGGGTTGTGGAGCTGTTGGGCCTTCAACACGATGCAGGTCTCAGCCCTGCCAGCTGTTCCACACTAGAGTCGGGGTGCTAGTGGAGAAAAGGTGGAATCCTGAGGCTCGAGATCAGTTCCGTGAGAGGACAAGGCAAAGAGCCATAAGCCTCAAAGTCCCTCCGTGGGGGAAGAAAGCTTTGTTGCCCCTTTTAAAGAAAGCAGCAGCCCCCTCCTGCATAAAATGTTTTAGTAACTGCACTGGTGCCTGCCACACAAGCTCATGCCCATCCTCGGATCTCCTTACACCCTTGTCATGGTTTATGTCTGTGGCCCCCAGACCTCAGGAGTTTGCATTGTGCATTTGTGATGGTTCATTGTCTAGTGCTTGGATTGATGGTGTCAGTGCTCCACCCACATAGGGGAGGAGCCAGGGTGTGATGTAATGGCAGGAAGAAGGTGTCTCTCTCTTTCTCTTTTGCTGGTTTCTGCTTTGCTGTTTGCAGCCGCCATGAACTGCGGCTCTGCCATGCCATCCTGCCTTGGAGCCAACTGACTATGGACTGAAACCGCCAGAAACTGTAAGAAATAAACCTTTGCTTTCCCAACTTTGGGTTTCAGGTATTTTGTCTCAGCAATGAGTAAAAAGTAACCAAGACAACCTTCTAGCTCACAGTGAGAGTTGTATCTCAGGACAGCCCAGAGAAGGAGGTACAAGGTCTACTCTAATGGTATTAGAGCTTTTAAGTCAAAAGAGCTACAAGAACTTACTACTATATTATCAGGAACCTTAGACACACACTACGTGAGGATGGAATCTAACTTTGTTAGATTAAGAATTACGTGGGCTGGGGGGCTGGAGGTTTAGCTCAGCGGCATAAGCACCTGCCTTGGAAGCAGGCAGTCATGAGTTCGATCCCCGGTACCGATAAAAACGAAAAAGCCAAAAAAAAAAAAAAAAAAAAAAAAAAAGAATTACGTGGGCTGAATTTATGGACACAGCCACACTCGCCAGAAATTACAGATTTAAAGTATTGACTGAGCAATCAGAAATGATAGCAGTCTGTTGGGTCAGCTAATCCAAGTGTAAACTCAATTTCTACCATTATAAAATGCCCAGATGTCCTTAGTATACTGTAGAAATAGGCCTGCTAAGACTCTAAGTATGTTTCCATTATGTGCAATTTACTTGGCATTCCAATAGTCGTATCCCTAGGAGGTCCCAGATTATACCGGTTCATCAGATTATTAAGAAATGGCTTTTTGAGGGGGAAAAACAGAATTCTTACAAATTCTGTCCTTTACAGTATGGAGGGGATGGGAGAATAAACTGATAGAACTGGTTCCTTCACCTTAAGAGTCCCCAAACTCAGGCACTGGACCAAGACCAGTAGCCGTCTGGAGCCTGCAAGGACAGAGCTACCCAGCAGGAAGCCAGTGATGACTGTATTTACAGCTACTCCTCACTGCTCGTATTTCTGCCTGAGCTCTACTTCCTGTCAGATTGGCAGTGGCGTTAGATTCTCACAGGAGCAAACTGTGTGTGCAGCTCGTATGAGACCCATGCCTGATGATCTGAGGTACAGCTGAGGCATTAGTGCTGATGTCAGGGAGTATAATTATCATATGTTGCAATTATATATTAATAAAAAACAGAAACCTCCTCTATAGTCTGTAGAAAAATTACCTTCCAAGAAACCAGTCTCTAGTGCCCAAAAATGTCGGGGATATAGCTTTGGATCACTTGGGAATAATGGAACTGTTGTACCCCAAAAACGAGCCCCCAAAATGGTGTCCAAAAAATGGGCAAGATGCCTTTTTTAAAGAAAAAGGAGCACTTTTATTTATCCTGGCACCAGCGACACAGTGCAGTAGGAGCTTGCAAAGCTGTGTAACTGGTTAAAATTTTGACAGACTTTTATAGAAAGAACAATTAAGAAGACCTTTGTTTCCCTTTGCTTGAGGACAGAGAAGATTCCCAGGAGTTTAGAGTCCTTTGTCAGCTAATTTTAGCACTTTATTTTTAGATAACATCTATCCTTTGCAGAGGAGAACAGTGGTTAACATATCAATCAGGTCAGCCAGG